TATGATGGACGAAATATCAGCACGTTTTTACCTCAAAGGAGTGAGAATTTCTCTGGATTGCGTCAACATGAATATCGTAAAAACGCCAAACGGATGGAGTATAACAAGATTTTTCCGTCCTGATTTGGTAAGATCGACGAACGAATCTCTTCTTTAATCACGATTAGTTTAGTTGCAATCATCACCAGGGCACCATTTGGCTATTTAAACCATATTCGAAGGACATTGGTTTACGCTGCAAATGGAAGGGAATAAATCCTTACCTTTTCTGGATGTTCTTATTATTACGGAAAGGGGTAGTTTAGGGATAGATGCTCATTAAAAGGCAAAATATGTTGGCTTCTTATTATATTTTCTTTCCAACGATACTCACAAGACTAAGGTTGGACTTTTGAAGTCATTAATTTTTAGAAGTATGAGGCTAGCGGTTAGCAAACATTTGAATAAAGAGTTACTACTCACATATTCCTGCAAAATAATTATCCTGTAGGCATTGTTGAGAATAATATCTCTCCACTGAGGAATAAATTTTCAGAAGGAGACCATTTAGCCAAAGATAGACAAACTAAGACATTATTCCATGTCCTAATTTTTCCGTCATGCCTTCTCTCAAAAAGTTAGGTGAAATAGTAAATGAGTGGGGCATCAAAACAGTGTTTAAAGAAACCTTCATGTTTTTTCTGTAATGTCATCTTTTAAAGAGAAATACGACCCATTATCGAGACCCGGCTGCTACAAGATTACTTTTTCATGTGGTCGTTGTTATGCTGGTAAGACATGCCGACCTGTCCGACAAAGATAAGTAGAACACAAAAATGCTGGCAAAGGTAGCTGGATCCAACTGTCAGAAGTGGCCAAACATATGGTAGAAACTGGACATTTAATAAAGTGGTGGAGCCGCTGGCTTGTCCAATTTCCTTCAGACTATGCTTCGCCAGTCTGTGCACAATGCCAATCATTCTCCACCCTTACAGTAAGTTTTAGGTTAATTTGGTATATTTTTCTCGTCACTTGTTTAGCTTAGTCCTAACGAGGGCCTAAATGACGACAAAGCAATGGCATACATACTCTATATGTGTATATTTCTGTATTAGCCTTGACTATTTAGTTCAGCTTACAAAATAAGTTTATTCTTATATCAAACCAAATTCAAAGGGCGTCAGATTATACTATCGTGTCTGGTCTCCTATGTGCATTCTACCGATGTGTGGATCTTCCTTCTGATACATCACCTAGCTGCTCGTTTTACTTATTTGAAGTAGCAGAAATCTTATCAGATGATTTTAAGCTGGACTCTGGCACAATTCGAATATCCCACGTAAAATAGTTATTGAGGATTTGCCCTTGATAGTATTGGCTGATGGTATTTATTTCCTATCAAGAGTAAAGGTCAAATGGACTACAAGCATTTTGGGCTGGGTGTGAACGCGATTTAATTCGGAAAGGGGTAGTGTTCTCCTCGAACGATGACTTAAGTTGTATTCTGGTCTATCATTAGATGGGGATTAGTTAAAGGTTGAAGGCTTGGCTAATTCAATTCGAAATTTATAGGATGACTGCAGCGACGTTAGCAAATAGGATAAATGTCGTCAGGTGGGCGCATGCTGTTCCTAGAAGGTAGACTTCCATCTAATTATTCGATGTAAGCCGTGATGCCAGACATTGAATTATTGTATTAACCTTAGATTTAGAAGTTGTTTGACCTTGTTTTCGCAACTTGGTCATATTGATAGGAAGATTTAGAGGAACGCACCTAGTCCGCAGTCCATTGTAGGCATGATCATTTCCAGAGTAGGAAAGTTGACGTGGTACATTTCTAGATGTATCGCCGGCAATATAGTCGGCATCGTCAGTGAGTATCTCCATTCTTCGTCTAACCTATCCCAGGTTCACATATTTCACTCGACCCCTGCCACGCCATCTGTGCCATCGAGGCGTTATTCGCCTTCCCTGCATCTGGATGACTAATTCGAGGCTAAAGTCTCTGAGTAAGTCTCATGGCCACGCCTTTGCCATTTGGACCATGTCTCTAATACAGCCCAGTGTCAGCCAACTAGCTCCAATTGCCGTCGCGTCTATCCTCTTACTATCCCTAATACCAAGTATATGACTTGTAATGCCCTTGTCTCTTGTGTTCCAGCACACAAATGCTGTGGTATTGTCTGCTGATACTGTTTCATGTGGCAAAGGTGTGACCATGAGATTAAATCAGAGGTTTTGGCCTCGAATTAGTCACCAAGACGCAGGGAGGGCGAATAACGCCTCGAGTGGCACAGATGAGGTGGAAGGGTTCGAGTGAAATATGTGAACCAGGGAGAGAGTACATGGATATTACGGGGCAAGAGAGATACTGTGATACGACTTAGGGAAGGAGGACTGTGTAACAATATGACAGACTGATCAACATTCCCAGTACAATTGTGAAGGAGGATAAGGACGCCAGCGTGAAGTGCGGAGGGTTCTCATGAAAGCCACTTAAAAGGTCACATCACACTAGATTTAATTAAGCAAGAGAAAAATTTTAACATTAACGGTGTGATAGTATT